CTGGGGGGGGGGGGGGATGGCGATATTGATAACAATAATAAAACGTAAATTGAATCAGCAACGACAGAAGCAATAATTACAACAACAATGATAATGACGAAGAAAAAAATAACCTTTATAATAATGGCTATAATAACAGTAATGATAAATATAATAATAGTGATAATTAAAATAATAATATTTTAATGTTGATAATTATAAAGATAATGATGATGATGATATTAAGTATAATGATAATGATAATAATGATGATGATAAACTTAATTTTTATCATTATCAACATTATCATTAATATCATAATTATTGTTGTTGTTATCATTATTACTATTTTCATTATCATTATAACAATGACAATAATGATAATAATAATAACAATAATAATGATAACGATAACAATAAAAATAATAATGATAACGATAACAATAAAAATAATAATGATAGCAAGAACAACAATAATGATAATGATGCATGCAAATGATATACTGAAGTATATTTCACACAAGATGTGCGTGCTTTTTTATGTCCATGTACATTCATTGCTAAGAATGATTTCGATTCATGAGTAAACACACCAGTCGGTTTCATTCCAGATACATGAAGTGTGATATAAGTCTATTTGAAATGGGGAGCAGGTGTGAATGGGGGAGTGGGGAGGGAAGGGGAGGAGAAGGGAAGAAGGAGTAGAAAGATGCTAGTGTGACGTATGCCGCCATAAATCCCTTTCTTTACCGCAGCTCCCCCCTCTCCCCCTCCCACTTCTCCCCTCCTCTTTCATCCTCTCCGCCCCCTCCGCCTTCTCTAGTCCTCCCTTCTCCCTACTCTCTTCCTCCTCTCCACTTCACCCGGCTTCCTTCCCCCCTTCCCCTCCTCTCTCTTTCTTCTCCTTCTCCTTCCCATTCTCCTCTCCTATTTTGTCTTTCCATCGTCTCCCTTCATTCTTTACCCTCCCCCTACCCCCTCAAACAGACCCTTACCTTTCCCTCCCGCCCCTCAGCCCTGCCTCCCCCCCTCCCCCCCTCCCTGCAATTACCACCCGTCCCACGCAGCATATATAAAGAGGAAGAGACTCACGACTTCAATCCACTCCAAGATCGCCCTCAAGCAGGAACCGACTCGCCCGTTGCATCGCTCGTCTGCGAGGATTCCGCTGCCTTTAATCCGAAGAAAACTCGAGTAAAATGAAGTTCGCCGGAATCGCCCTTGTGAGTGATTGCGTAATACGTCGATCGCGTTTGTCGGAATTCTTGTTGAAAAAGAGCGACTGAAATTTGTTTCTTACAAAAAGGAGTTAAAGATTCGATGTTCCTTCTTTCACCAAGGTTTCGTGATAATCCTGAAGATATTCCATGATGATGTGTAATACTGAAACCTATACAAGTGCTGAATTTGAGAATCATTTGCTTCCATTCGTGTTTTTAAAATCAACATCTGAGATTTTTACTTTTTTGATATTATGTCTACCCAATACCATGATTATTGTAAGTCCTCAATATCTTTATCTATCAATGAATTACCATGCAATATATCCATTTTGATGGTATTCCCAAGCACCTGTATATTCATTCAGTAATTGTCATTACATGTTCGATAGATCACATTACACACACACATAGTGAATATTCGAACCGACACATACAACCAGACAGATGTATACATAAGCGCCCTTCCGTTACACCTAACTGAAAAGTACAGTAAGGAAAAGATGTTGCTCTTCTTTAATGGTTGTCAGTGGCACAGGTTCAGTTTCTTTCCCGGCGTTTATGTCTTCCAAACCAACTTGTCTCCTTCACATCCTTTTTGCGTCTACTTCACGCCATCACCATTCTCGTAGGATTAGTGTTCATATTAGCAGTCTTATCACCATTATTATCACAATTACTCATCATTGTTATTATTTTCATTATCATAATAATAATAGATATAATTATTACCATCATAATGATGAATATCACCATTATTGTCATAATGATAATAAATATGATTATCATTGTATCACCATTATTATTAGAAATATTATTATCATCATTATCATTGATATTATCATTATCATCATTATTACTAGTAGACTTTTCCCCCGTGTGATCCCCCCCCCCCCCGCCCCCAGAGCGTCGTGGTGGTAGTCGTAGGACTCCTTCCAGCAGGGACCCGGGCCTTCCCCTCACCCCCTACGCCCCTAGAGTCGTGATCCCGATCCTGAAGGACGACCGCTCGCAGGACGCCTACGGGGGCTACTCCTTCTCCTACGGCACAGGCAACGGCATCTACAGGGACGAGGTCGGCCGACAGAACTACGGCCAGGTCACACAGGGAGGCTGGAGGTGAGTGGGGGAAGGGAGGAAGAGGGAGAAAAGGGAGAGGGAGAATGGGGAGAGGGGGGAAGAGGAGAGGAGGAGAAGGACAAGGAGATGGAAGTGGAAAGGGGATGAAGGGGAGGAGGAGGAACGAAGAGGAAAAGGAGGAAAGGAAGGGGAAAATGACAGGTGGGAGGAGGACTAGATGGAGAGGGAGAAAGGAGAAAATATTACTTAAGATGTGATTGTTTTATTACTATCTTTATCACTTTATTGTTCGCAGAAGTAATATTAATAATAGTAGTTGTAGTATCGTCATTATCATTATTATCATTACCATTTTTATTACGGTTATCATTATCATATTGTTTGTAGCACTACCAATTATTGTCATCGGTACGACTTTCACTGGTTGTAGAAGTACTTTCCATTTCCTCATTAGCTTCACCATCATTATAACTATCACTATTGTTATCAATATTATCATTATCACTATCATTATCATTATTATCATATATTACTATTATTATTACATTATTAGTAGTATTGTTGCTGCGGTCATCATTATTATTTTTGTTCTTATTATTACTATTATCACTATTAGTATTAATATCATTGTTGCTATTATTAGCATTATTTTTGTTATTATTATTGATACAATCATCATTAACATTATCTTTATCTTTCTTATTATCATTGTCATTGTAATTACTGCTTCTGGCGTTGTTGATGCAATTTACTTTTTATTGCCGTTATCAATATCGCCATCCCCCCCCCCCCCAGCTACACCTCCCCCGAGGGCGTCCGGTCAAGATCACCTTCGTGGCCGACCAGGGGGGTACCAGCCCTCCGGCAACGTGCTCCCCGTGGCCCCCGCCCTCCCCTACTCCAGGACGCAAGTCTACTGAAGAAGGGAGAGGGGTAATGAAGAGTAAAAGGAAGAAAATATAGAATTAAGAGAGAGAAGAAAATAATCGTTGATATTATAAACGAGAATAAAAGCCGAAGAGGAAGAAATCATGAAGAGAAAATTGAGAAAGAAAAAAATGTTTTTTTTTTCTCTCTCTCTCTCAATTTCTTGGCCATTCACTTAATTATTATTCTTTTACATTTTCTTGGTTCTTTCGAATCAAGTTACTTTTAATATCTTCATGATTGCTTACTTTGATAAGCTTTATTTCTTCCTAGCATTATTATTTTATTATTACTTATTAAAAATTATCATTATCAATATCATCATTATTACTAATATTATTGCTATTATCTTTATAATAATCTTTATCATTACTGTTCTTATTTTATCATTGTTGTTATTATTAATATCGTTATTTTTATCATCATTATTAATTCTTATTATTCATTTATCAACTGTTTAACATTGTTTTACATTTTCGCTGCATTTTGTTCATCCTTAATATGTTTTCCTTTATCGTTGTTATGGTCTTGGCACTGACGAAGGGAGGTGCCTGGCGTGGCCGCGTTCGCTTGTTTTGTTGTACTTGTCATGGAGTGAATAAAGATCCAGTGCAACGTGTGTTTCATATTCATGACTTTTCATCCATTACATATGCCTATCAAATTGTGTAAGAAAATTTACACTGCGTAATCTACCGGTCGAGAGATCTGACACGTGATTATCAAGGAAAAGGAAACGTTGCATAAAATAAGTAGCTTGGTTTTACTCTACATAAGGAGATCTGCATCGTAAAACTCTCGAGATTCTATCGCACGTATTCACAGAAGAAGCAGAGGAGCTGAGTCCAGGATAACTGCAAAAAGTCCGCATAATTTCCCTAATGGAAACCTGCAAACCCGTTCGCTGCAATGACACCGCAGCGCGCCTTCCTTCTCAGCTGGTGAAGCTTGAGCTTCTGTTCCTTCCAGAACTCTCCATGAGGGCGAATCCCATGGTAGCGCATACACACACACACACACATATATACATACATATATATGTGTGTATATATACATATATGTATATATGTATACATGTAAACATATTATATATTATATATATATATAATATATATATATATATATATATATATATATATAATATATTAGATTCACCACGGTGGTGTAAATAAAGTCAGGTTACTTTTCGCTTGAACTTCTGTATGTTCTAAACGGATTATGGCAGCCGAGTTAGACGTGAGAAATTTTGTTTTTCATAATGCTTGTATTTGTTTATAATCGCGCCTTGCAAAGTCAACACCCCGGCACTATAGTCCATAGTCTCAGGGTTATTTTCATAATATATGCATCGACGTCTAATTCATACATGACCTATGGTAAGTGAATTAAGTGCGATCACGTGTCGCATCGTGGCAAAGACTAACAAAAGATCCATCGGTTTCACGAATTACATTCTTGAATAGTGTGATTCCTTATTTACATTTACGTTATGATTTCGTCTCCACTTGTACTGAAACTTTTATGTTCTATTTGTACACTCGTAAATTTCTATGAAAAAAAATATATAATTATTATCTATAATCGTATATGTATTATATATGTATATATATACATACATATATTTCATATATATGTATATACATTCGTATGTATGTATGTGTGCATGTATATATATGTATATATATAATATATATTATTATATATATATATATATATATATATATATATATATATATATAATACTATATTATATATATATATATATATATATGTGTGTGTGTGTGTGTGTGTGTG